CCTTGGCCTGCCCACGGGTGCCACCTGCGGCCGAGGGCGGGCAGGGACGGGGCGGGCACGAACCTTCGGCCTCTGCCACCTCCCACCCGCCGCTCCGCAGCCGCTCCGGTGCAAGACCACTGAAGGAAATGGTGATGGGCCGCAGCCCGTGCGCGCAGAGCCTGGGGTCAAGGCGCCTGTATTTCCTTCACACACGGCGCTGTTTGTCATGTCTAGAAGGCCATCCTGCAGCCCAGACACGTGTCTAGCCGGCCGCATTGACGTGCCGGGTAGCTGTGTGTGTGTGCGTGATGCAGTAAGTGTGAGATCTGAGCCAGCCGGCTGCATTGTGCGTGGCGTTTGCATATTTTATGCTTGGGAAGGCAAAGAACACCAACTTTTCATGAGCAAATATTTGCATATTTTCCACTCGTTCACGCAGATAAAGCATTTCAATTCTCTGTTCAATCCTCAGGAGAGCCAGGAACATCTTTACAAGAGCCTGTTCCCCTTTTTTGTATCTCCCTGTCTATCTAACGGCTACCTGATTTCAAAAGCTGATTAACTGCTTCTTGCCCTCTCCCCACACCCTCTTGTTCCACCGTCCCATACAATACCTGAAGCAGAATGTGGCCTGGACAGTTTTGCTGTTGCCTGAGCTGAGCTGCTGTGTTTCCCTGCTGATGACAAATACAGCTTCAAATAACATTGTGTGGGCTGTGTTAGTAACAGCCTGGAAACGCACCCTCTCCTCTCAATGCTGGAACCCCTCCCCAGTCAACATTCACTGCCCTCCCAGTTTCTCTCCTGAAGATCCACTGCAGCACAAAAAGGTCACATGGAGTGGGTCCGAAGCTGCCCCTGGCCACACTGTTGGGCCGACAGAAATGTGTTTGGGTGTGCATGTATGGTGGGTCCCTGTGCAGGGAGGATCATTTGCAAGGTCCAATTGTCATCTCCCAGGTTTAGTCCATGCTTGGGCTGTGTGTATGAAGGTGTACGTGTGTTGTGTTCTTGTGTTCATGCTTAGGTCAAGAGGTAGGTGTATATCTGGGTACGCATACATCTGTGTACTTGGCCACATATGGTCTCACACACATGTAGATATACTTGAATCAAAGCACCCACAGACATGAATATGTATATATATTTATACACATTCACAGTCACATGTGCCCACACATACACGCATGCAATCACATCAATACTCATTTCTATGCATGTATACACATCACATACATATGCCTCTCTATATCTGCTCTTGTGCACTCCGACATGTGCATACAAACTGTCTGAGCAGCTGGCAGAATGGTCTCTCCATGTTTCTGACACCCCATCTATGATCAAACATTTGCTGGGAAGAGGAACTGCACAGTGCTGCTGAAATCATTGTAGCCCTTTCTAGTCTTGCAGCTCCTGATCTCTACGTGACAAGAATAAAACCTTTTGTGCAGCAACAGGGCTTGATGGAGCTCTTATCTCCATGCTTCTGCACCCAGAATAGAAAAATCCATTTCCACATCTGACTGGAACAAATCCCCCTGAACACAGCCAGAATTTTGCTTAGCCACTGCACACGGTTCCCATGGCCTCTGGATTGCCCGGAGTCAATCACACCATCGTTAGGAGAGGGAGAGGGATCAAAAGGTCAGTCAGACTAATGCTATACCACAGAAAAAGCTGGAGATTCACCAGGAGGGAGACAAAGATGTGGAGAGAGGGCAGGGGTCAGGAGGGAGCGAGGTACTGTCCGTTATGTCAAATGTCTGTTCCTATGAAAAACAACCTTTTAATCAGTGGTGATGGTTTGCAGAATTTTGTAGCATTCATTTTCTCCTCATGAATTTTGGACAAAAAATACCTTATCCTTTTCCTCTCCCAGTCTTATTTTCTATTCATCTCCATTTTTTTTTCCCAACTTGTCACTGAAATGACACTGGATGCAGCATAGGGGGGAGAAGAAAACACAAGACAGAAAAAGATGATGCTTGTGACCCTTTTGTTTTAAACTTCTGTTTAAACTAAAGACCCCCAGTTTTTTGCAGGTCTCCCTGGAACACAATTTGTTTTCCCCTGCAGAGCTGCCTCACTAGTGAGCTCAGACTGCATGTATAAAAATGATGTCTCCTTGGCACACTTGCTTGATACTGGATTGTAGTGTTTGGGCTCTTCATAGATGTAGGTATTTTAAGAAGCTAACCAGTTGGTGGAGTTCCTTGAGTGGTGACTTGCAGCAGATGGAGCAAAGGCGTGTGAAATGAAGTTTCAGCTTGATTCAGTGGTGAAGGAGAGTGTCTCTGTTAAGTGTATTGGCAACAAGGGAACTCAACAAATTCCCCACAGCAGCTGGGCAGCCACTCTGTGGAGAAAGAAACCCTCCCTGTATCTGCCCCCCATCCACCTGAGCTGCCTCCTGCAAGGTCCTCATTCACTGTCACCTGCCTTCTTCAGTGCCTGGTCATCAACCATGAACAATGCTATGTGTTCCCCAGCTAATACCATTTCTCCTCTGTCCTACAGTGATTGCTGTGCCAGTGGTGCCCAGCATTCACCTTGCCCTGCTCCTCACTGCACGAGGAGCAACACAGTCCCCCATTTAAAGTACTGTGTTGTCCATCTATCCGACCACTTGGTATCCAGACCTTTTAATCTTCTCACTGTTGCCCCATATAGAGGCAGGAGCTTTGGCAGTTCATCTTCATTGTACTAGGATTTCTTGATTGTGCTTCATCCAGTGGATGCTGCAGGAGCTCCCCCAGTGAAAAAAAAACATAGGCTTTTTTAGTCCAACAGACTGTGTATCCCATGCTCATGAACAGTTTGACTGTTTTTCTCACGGGGCCCACAGTATGGGCAGCTGATGCATGGATAGGAGGAGGAAGAGATGTGAAGAAATAGCAGAGGATAGAAACTGACTACCAAGCACTTTCTTTTCCCCATGAGTTGAGCCTGCACTCTGCAGTGTTTGACTGAGCCAGTGCACTTTGTAAGAGGAGCTAAGGAATAGCTGTGTGGTATCACTGGTAGCTCAGCTTCCTGGACTGACACATGGACAGCTTTGGTACTAGCATCACAGATTCAAAGAGGAAAAAAGAGGTTGGAGGATTCATAGGGACAATGTTTCTCTGCCAGGGAGGTGGCTGAGAGCACAGCTGAATGTCTTTTACCAGGTGATGTCTGCAGTCCCTTCCCACACTTCCTCTGCTCTCTGGCCTGGCTAGGACATGTCTCCTCACCTGACACCCTGTGACGGTCCTTTCCCAAACTCTAGTGCCCTGCACTGCAGTTCCCCTTATGCTTGCCAGGCCTTCACTTCTTCTCACATTGCCTTTGGATGACCTTGTCTCTTGCTTCCTCATGAAGTGGTTCTGTTCCTATCATCCTCTGCTGCTGCAGCTTGTTCTGCTTCCCAATCCAGGGCTTTTGTCTTCTGTTCCAGCACATCTGACCCCATGCCATCCCTTCACATCTCATGCTTCTCTCAAGTGACCTGTGAGACATCTTTCCATCACCCAGCCAGCTCTTGCCGCTGACCTTCCACAGACTGCTTTCTCCAACGTCTCCTAATATTATGGATGCATGTGTCCTTTTGATGGGTCCCTCCTTTCCGTTTCTTAAAATTATTTGTGGAGAAAAGTGCCCAGATATAACTAAGGGCTCTGGTATGAGAGTCTTCTTGGTGGCTGTAGCTTAGCAACAGCATTCATGGAGAAGTTCAAGGTGTGGGGACAGACATTTAGCAGAACCTGCAGGAATGAAGCCAAACTGGGGAGAGAGACCTTCATCCCACCCATCATCATACATTGCTGTTCCTTTAGCCTGCACACTCAGACGGGCCCACCCACAACTTCCCTCCAACAACCAATGCACAGAAGCAAGCACTCATCCAACACTCACAGCAACACGCATACTCTCACATTCCTATCCAAGCATTCACATGTGTGCACCCATTTCCATACTCGCATGCCTACAGAACATAAACATCCCACAATTACATAAACACACTTCCTCATCTGTGTTTATATATACTTACACACACCCCACAGCCACACACAGGTTAGCATCAGTGCCCAACCCATACACATCTCCCATCAGCCCTGACTTCTCGATCTCTGATCCTGTTCAGCCATTCTCATACACGTACAGTCCAGTGATCCAATTTTTGCATACTTCTGTACACATGCAGGCACATCATTTCTTCTCCATTCTGAGCCAAATACTCTGCCATTTCCCACAACACAAATCAGTTCCTAGTATTGCCCAGACCCCTGCAACCATAGCTCTGGCACGCTGGAGATCCCTTGACCTCCCTCTGCTCCCTACCCCCATCCTGTACTGATACATGCTTTATATCTCCTGTACCAGCCAAACATTACTCCATACAGAGATCAACTCATCTCAAAGACATTGTGTAATCTCAGGAGAACCAAATCTATAGCACCCCCCTCCCCTAAACACACAGAATGGTTCTGTTCATTTGGTCTTTTAAGTCCAAAGGCTTTTTGTTTATTTACAATAAGGCTTAGGGAGAGGAAAAGGGAAAGGGCATTTCAGCTTGTAAGAAACCCTGCCTCCAACCCATGCCTCTGTCTTCTTCTGTATGCTTGTTACATCTTCTGCCAAGGCACAGAGGCACCAGAAAAACTCTGAAGAATGCAGGAAATAAATGTCCCATTTGCTCTCCCAGGTGAGTCTCATCAGCCTGCCCAGAGTCCATGAGACCCCTGGAGAGAAAGAGGAGGCTTTAAGCAGTCAGAGTGGTCTCTAGCCACGACCAGAATGGGTAGGAAAGTTTGTCCCCAAGACTTACTGGAGAGCTATAGAAGGGTCAGCCATTCATACAACTGGCTGGTATGTCTTCACTGCAGACACTTTTTACTTCCTGTTTTTCTTTTAGGGTAAACTGCTTCTCAAGTTTATAAGGGAGATAATCAAGGCACTGGGATGCCCATTTGTTGTATATTGCATTTGAGGATTTCCTTGCGGTGCCACAGTCAGATCGCAGCTGATGCCCTTCACAGTTGGGTAATCTAATGATGGATCATGCAATCTAGGGCTGACCTTGCTCTCTCCATACTGTTAGTGCCCATCACCTCTTCAGCTCTCCCTGAATGCAGTCATTCCTTTACCAGGTACCACACAAACCTCAGGTGTCCCTTCCAAAGCCAAGAACAATGCCTTGCTTTTTCCACAAGTTCATGGAGAGCTCTTCATCTTCAAGAAGAGTCTTGGACCTTAATATTCCCTTTTATCATTGTCTCCCATCACTTTTGAGGTGGAAAAACACAGAGGGTGAAGGAGATCCCATGTCTCAACATCTCTTTCCCCTGCACCATCCCTTTCATCATAAATAACTGGTGTGCAACTTGTTGCTCTTTTCGCATCCCACAGGCTCCTCAGGGAGTGGTTTCTGCTCATTGCTTTCTCCTTCCCCACTGCTTAGAGGATGCTCCTGCCTGTCATTACCATTCTGGGTGATCTTGCTGATCTCACCCTCTTCCCCTTCATCATAAGTCTTCTCTGGGGGGCATGCTGGCACCTCCTGGCTCTGGACTCGGCGGGATGGCCTGAAGATGGCCCTCCGGAAGCCCTGCTTGAAGCGGTAGGAGAGAAAGCCATAGATGATAGGATTGGCACAGCTGTTGGCATATGGCAGCACCACCACAAGGAAGTAGACACCAAAGAGGGATGGCTCCTCTGGCAGTGGGCAGACGACATTGATTATGTTGAGGACATAGAAGGGGAGCCAGCAAAGGACAAAGACAGCCACAACAGCCACCACCATGCGGGTCACTCTGCGCTCTGAAAGCTTGTGCTTGGAGGAGAGAGCCCTCACCCGCCTGCCAGAGGAATGAACCTTCACAACGATAAGAAGATAGCAGAGAGATATCACCAGCAGTGGCCCAAAGAAGCCCACGGTGGCAGTGTAGACGATGAAGCCAGCTCTCCACACCGAGGCAGGCTCTGGCCACTGGATGTGGCATGTACTCATCCCTAAAGGGACGTCTGAGAAGACAACCACGGGCAGCACCACTACAGAAGACAGAACCCACACAGTCGCACTTACAGCCTTGGCCACCCGTGCTGTCCGCCATTTGGAGGACTTCCCTGGATGGACCACAGCCAGGTAGCGATCAACGCTCATCACCGTCAGGCAGAAGATGCTGGTGAACTGGTTGATTGCATCCACAGCCATCACCAGGCGGCACATGAAAGACCCAAACGGCCAGTAGGACAGGGCATTTTGTGCAGCCAGGAATGGCAGGCCCAGCATGAAGAGCTCATCAGCTAGGGCCAGGTTCAAGATGTAGACATTGGTCACCGACTCGCTCACAGAGTGCCGCAGGACCACGTAAATGACCAGAGAATTCCCAGCCAGCCCCACTACACAGACAATGAGGTAGACCAGGGGTATGAGGACACTGCTGACAACCACACCAGGGCTGCTGGTGGTGGAGCCGTTGGGGGCAGTGAAGCCTGCCCAGCTGCCAGAGGCATTCCCCTCTTCCAGCACTGCCGGTGTGGGGAGGCTGAAAGCAGAAGTGTCCATAGCAGAGGCAGGGAAGAGGATGGGGGGCAGTGTCCTTGCAGGATCAGCTAGCAATCTGGAGGTAAGAGGAGGAGAAAAAAGCCATTGATACTGGGGACATGACAGCTGAACAAGCTATAGATAAAATCACCACATTAACTGTGTGTAGGTATGGACAGACATGGGAAGTCAAGGTGAGTTTGTGGATGCTGGCAGCTGCTGGAAGATGCAGGACAATATTGACCCCATCTAGTCCTGGGCGGCACAGTAGGTGTGGAAGGACAAACAGGGACATGATTCAGTGTGGGTCAATGGATCCTCTCCCCTAGGGAAAGAGCCTCTGGGAAAAGAATCACAGACTAGGATGCAGACAGGGAAGTTCTTCATTTTCTGCTAATAGCTCCAGTACTGAGGAGAGTCACCAGGGGCCTGATTCTCATTTATAAGTGGCAGGTACCTTACGAACAAAATGGGGAAGAGCATCCAATGACAAAGTGCCATTCCAACTCTGGCTCCCCCATTTACTGAGTATCTTTGCTTGTTGAAGCTCTTATTTGGACTGGCCAGATTATCATGGGGTTGCTAGCCCCACCAGCACAAATGGAAGCACCTCCACTCTCAATCCAAGCCGAGAGGCTGAGCTCAGCACCTGAGCTGGAGGGTGGTTGGTTTGTGTAATGCCAGTTTGAGATTAAAGGAAGAGCCAGATTATTTTGGGTACACCAAGAGGGATCAGTCCATATCCCTCTCATCTCTTTCTTGTTTTCTCTCTCTCTGCTTCCACACCCTGTGACACATGGCTAATGGAAGAGGCTCTGCTTGCCCCAGCTGTTTGCAACACCAAAGCAGTGTCCCAGCCTTCCTCATCTGAGGTGCCCAATTGCCCGTCACATCAGGGTCTGGCATGGAAACAGCACTCAGCTCACTCAGAGAGAGCCTTGAACAAACAAGCTCTCCATTCACCACTAGCTCTCTGCTGACACTGGATGAGAAGCTGCAGGGAGAGATAAGGGAAAGAGGTACATTTTGTCTTTTTTCAGGGCTCCAGATATGTGAGATACAGAGCCCAGCACATGCTCCAGACCAGAGACACCCTGGAAAACCTTATGCAGGGGAGATCTGTGATGTTTTCAGGATCACTCAGGCTTTGTTTAAACTTTATTTGCAGGTGCCTTGGGCTGTGACACACTGCCCTGATAGAAGCCTGTCTCTTGGAGTCCTGCAGTACTGGGTTGTCCCACACACCATGAGTGACTGCAATGAATGGACAGAGTAGGAACTAATTTGAAACCTTGTTTCTAAGCCCAAGGATTTTTCCTCTCATATTTTTTTCCAGTGCTGTTACAGTGACATGTCACTTGTTGGAGGAAAGAAGAGGGCAGTGGCTGCTGTGTAGACAAAGATCCTTGCAAAGGGTGGTAGAAACAAGAACATTATGTTCATAAAAAGACGATCCTCTTAAAGGTGGGGACATAGCTAGGAATCCCTTTGGATGTTCCTTCCACATGCAAAGGAATTTTTAAAAAAAAAAAAAAAAAAAAAAGCATTTGGAGACAGAGCCCTACAAATATCAAATATGGATGGGGACACTCATGCTAGGGCTGAAGAGCATTTGGGGAAGTGTCTGGGGCCCAGAGTCAAATTTGATTGCTCAGGTTCTGGTTTAGCAACACAGTAAACCCAGCTTCAGGACTCCAAAATCCCTATCTCAAATGCTAAGGCATACAACACAAAGCACGGATTCACTACAAACTCATTTTGCTGCTCAGATGCAGTAGAGAAACTCTGCCTTTAAGCATGGTCTGTCTTGTGCCATTCTAACTTTGAAATGTACCACCTACCAGGTCAAAATGTCATATCATACATTCTGGCTAGTTTGGCAGCACAACCACTGAACACCAGTGCCTCATCTGGGTTGGATCCACTGTGCTGGCTGCTTTGGCAGCACCTGCATAGGTAGGAATTGATTGAGGAACCTTGGCCTCAGACTGATAGTGTGTTGGCATCTGCTTGGGGTCTGTCCCTGATGTGGATAGCACCTGTTGCAAGAGGCTTGGGATCCCCTAACAGATGCTGCCAAAATATGCCTATTCCATACATCTGGAGAGCAAGAGAAAGTGAGAGGTAGGAACACATGGCAAAATTGGTGCTAATATATATATATATATATATACACACATACATATACATATATTTCTTCACTGAATGAGAGGAGGTGGATGCTAAAAGCTAAGCCTAGACCTGGTTACAAAACAGAAGTAGAAGCTGGGAGGGACCACAGAGTCCGATAACCTGCAACCCCTCCTGCCACCCTTGCCTCCCATCCACCTTGTTTCCCATGGCCCTGCTCCAGCTCAGGATTCCACCTGCCTCACCTCGGGGCTGAGCTCTCTGGTGGGGACCAGGCTGGGCTGGCACAGTTGAGGGGTCAGCGTTGGGGGCGGAGGGGTCGGCAGGTTTCCTTCTCCGGGACTGCAGAGTTAACTTCTGCATGGACTCATGCCCGCGGGAGACATCTCGGAAGAGAGGGCAGAGCTGCCTGGTACTTACGTGTCGTCGGGATGTACATTTTCCTCTGTTTCACTGGGAGAATCCGTGTCATGTTTTTCCCCTTCCCCTTTCTTAAAAGCAAATGAGCAAAGCGGTCCCAGGAGGGAGCGAGTCCCACCACGCACTACCGGAGACGCAAGTCCTTCTTCCTGGCCCTGCCCATCACCCCCTCCGTGCCCGGTGGGAGTGGGGCCCACTCCCGTCGCTGCTGGTGGCC